CATGCCACCCTAGTGCATTACTTTACATGCAAAAACAGCCAAAACTACTAATTCATTTTGATAAGAAATTTCTTTTTTACCGACMATTATTCCTGGCTGAAGATACACACATATATAGTTCCTTATTGATATGAAGATACACTAATACTGAAGGTATCTCACATTGGYGCAGTTCTATTATGAATACACATTTATAGCAAACAGCTAACGGCAGAGCCGAATCAATGACCCAAGAATTTYGTGCCTGACCTTGTGCTTTTGGTAGTCATTTGAAWGAGTGMYTTTTCACAACTATGGCAACCCCAAAATAACCCACTCTTGSGTCGAAACTGTAATGKTAAACCCTCMAAAAGCAGGTCACATGATCTTTTCTGCCRTTTGCMGTGGACGTCATGCTTAAGCTCTCTATTGAGGAAGTAATATTTCTATAAATGGCTGTACTAAGACAAGACAGTACTATATGTTCATTAATAATATGCCTTCACTGATGCAGTACTATATACAATCCTATCAACCCTATACTGGACACAGTGTAGTGATATGTATTAAAGTATATCTATCTATATATGCCTTCCCTGAGGCAGTAATATTTTCATAAATTACTTTATATAAAATGGTTATCTTTAATGGAGTTCTAAAAAATATATACCTTCCCTGAGGCAGTAATATTTTCATTTTAATAAAAAAAGCACTATATTAGATGGTTATCTTTAAATGGGGCTATAAAAAATAATATGTTCTCCCTGAGCCAGTAATATCTTCATAAATCACCGTGCCTAATGCTTGAAATTGTGACAAATATATGTCTACTCTGAAACAGTAATATTATCTACATTAAAAATTATTTGTCCGCCATTGATAGAAATAATCTAAGTTTGAAATATATTTTGAATTTTTTTATAATAGATGCTAGTTCTCTCCTTATTWTAGCTGGCTGAACTTTCCTCTCTTTCTAGTCGAGAGAGCTGCATTAATACAAAATCATCTTTTATCATATGACCCGTATTTTGGCCCTACGCACGCTCTTAAAAAACCTTTGGGAAATGGTCATGTGATGGGGGCCGTACGCCTTTTTGTGACAGGGCCGTACAAACCCATATCCTCCCGGATTGAAGTCCTGCGTGCTTTTATTTTTTTAATTTTACATTAAAAAACGCTGTCATATGATAAAATGCTTATTGACTGAGTTGGGTTGGGCCGTGCGCGAAAATATTTGGCTCTCGGTCATTTTTTCGGCATAACCTCGAGCCAAATATTTTCCCGTACGGCCCTCAAACTCAGTCAATAAGTACATAGTTTTTGCTCTTTTATCTGTGACCAACATGTAACTCCAACTAGGATCAGACACTTTTTCTTCTTAAGTTTTGTTGAAGTCTGGGTAAGTTGGAGAGATCAACAACCTGGGTATCCTGACTGCCAACACAATAATGTAAACCAAATAACTCACCTATAGGAGTTATTATAATACCGTAAAAAAATATGGGAAATAACTTACCTATTTCTCTCTCTTAACTCCGACGAAGGATTAACATCCGAAACGTCAGTAAGTTATTTCCCATATTTTTTTACGGTGTTAAACTTATCTTCTTTACACAACTGTTTCTTTAGAAACACCGACGCAGCTCACACTAGTTTACCGCTAGTTCCCACCATTTTGTTATTATAATACCATAATATTACCATTTTCACAACTTTCAATACTTTGTATACATGGTATCTTGTCATCACTAGAAATCAAAAAGAATTTTATTGGCATTAATCAGCTAATATCACAACCAACACCAATTACGTTGCATCTTAGAATAAGAAATGTACTCACTTCTGAAGAAAATCTGCATCATGTAGGCAATACTGTTGGCATTGTTGACTTTTTTTTCTTCTGTAAAATTATAAGAGTATATAAAGTAAGTGAAGATAAAAGTAAGACATACTGCACCTTTACTGTTAGTCTAAACTGGTGTAGTTTGATTRGCATGTGTCAATCACTAAAATATGTCTTTTGTTGTGAGACAGGTGTTATGCAAAAAGATTCATTTCGTAATCTATAGAGTTTTAAAATGCAACTCACTTTTTTCTCCTCAAAATAAGAAATGTAAGGACTGAAATAATAATYAACGCAGCCAGCGCCGCAAAGATAATGACTCCAAGAAGACCATAATTCAATCTTGATGAATCCTTATGGCTTTTGATTGATTTTYTGCTTGAACTTCTWTTGTGCATTTTGCTAGAGTTACTGGAACCATTTTGTGGCATTGGATCAGTGCTACTCTCAATAAATTCAGTGCTTGYTACTKCAGTGGTTTGCGATGATGATTTAATTGTGTGATTTAATTGTGCAGTTGTAGGAGGCTGAGAGGTTGTTGTTAATACTGTACCTGAAAAGTGACAATTGAGTTTAATATTTAGATTTAAAATCATTGTGTAAATTAAAGGAATATAACAAGAGAAAAGCAAAAAAATAAACTAATGGGCAAAAATTAAGTGGATGAATGAGAAAAATAAAATAAAAAATAAAATAAAATAAATTGGAGTAGTTTATCACCCACAAAGGTGACAGACCAGTGCTCTCACCACTCGGCCACCCTTGCTTGGATGCTGTAAGGATAAATTATTAGCCATTAAAAGAACCATTAGTAATATCAATGAAAGAGAGCATTGTCTTTATACATACCATTAACACACCCATAAAGCTCAACTCTCATGCATACTCGATAATTATACAGCACAGGAACAAATCTTATGCACTTTGCTTGTACTGTGTCAAAATCATTCCTGACAGCATCRAACCCATTAGAATTTCCAGTAAATGTCTAAACAAAGAATTGTCAGAATTAGACAACATTTCCTAGCATTAAATGTGTCAATCAGTGAAAATTGGTCATCAATGAAGAGGAGCTGGAGCATAAATTAACACAACCGTTGTTTCTATAGAAACAATTGCATGAAAAAGGTATTTTGTAAAATTGCTTTTTGGGCTATTTCAAAAAACATAATTTTGAACCATAATTAAGCTATTTTTTATGCATTTACAAGCATAAACCAGGATTAAGAGCATGAAAGCCCTTTATCCTGCTATTGTCCAAAAGTACAATTGTTTGGCAGACATCAATGTGATGAATGTAGAATTAAGTTCACTTCGGTAATCTGGTAAATTGAGCTACAAATGGAGGAATTACATCTAATTAAACCTATAACATATTTCAAAAACATTCAAATCAAAACATGTAAAAATATCAAATGCTTTGACTGCATAGTGTGCGAGAACAAAGTTCATATAACTAGGGTACTTGTCACTGTGCCAAAAAGTCCCCTGTACACTGCAGGTTGTCTGGAATTAGGACGTACTAAGAAAAAGACATGCAATGCTTGTTTTCAGTCCCTTTTAATGTACATGTAAGGTTTACATAAACCTACCTTGACTGTACCATTCTTTGCTATGTATTTCCAATCYGAGTCATTCAGGCTATATTGCACTCGATATTTTTCAACATAATAATCGTTATATATATTGCTAAAGCCTTGTGTTGCCAGTCCGGTTACAGTTATAACATGACCAAATTCAACCATAAGCCAACTCCCATGYGTCTGGTCTGTACACCAAGCAAACGTGTTATTCAACCGGCCATACTCWGCTTTCATACTTTTATACTTCACATGGTTAATGGGTAAGACAGAGATGGATGATGCAGAGAGGTGGATGTCTGTATTCTTTTCATTTTCAACACCCAATGAAGACAAGCAACTTCCTATAATAAAAACAAAACAAATGATTAACAAACCATGCATTTCTTAGGTTTACCTTTGATGTTTTTCCMTGTTGTTCAAGCCTACAAAACAATTTAACTGATATAATAAAAGATCCTTAAGAAATTAAGAATTGTTTATGATAAACTGATTTATGGCGAGTGAATTGTAGCAAAATAAATCATTTTCTTTGTCCTTACCACTAAAAACACTATTGCAAAATGACAGCAGAAGTTTTGACCACAAAAATAACAAACTCAAACAGTAAACCATCACCAAAAYTKTGTTTGAGGAGATTTGAGTGCAGACAATGTAAACTGGCTAGYGTGAATWRGCTTGTTATGCTTGGATTCATTTCTTTTTAATCCATGCTATTTGATTGACATTTTTAAATAAAGTTCATATTTTGCCATTTATTTAAATAAATATGTCACGTCTATAAGAGAGCAAATACACCAAGTTGTATCAATAAATGATTGAAATATAAGGATTAGAATCATTTAAATTTTTCCAAGGATTGAAAACCTCTACAAAGATTATATTTGTATTCACAACCAATCCTAGGGGTCAAAGGTGACTTCATTAACACAAAGTTTCACAAAAATATTTTAACTTTTTAATATTAAAACTCAAATAATTTTGTACAAGTTAAAATGCACTAGTCAACAATTGCACTAGTCAAAATTGATTTTTCACATGAAGAAGACTGGTGTCATTTACTCTATTTTATGAAATGAAATAAATAAATAAATAAAATTTGATATTGCCAGGATACAAAGAACTGTCTACGTGATTTCTCCATGTATTGCAATTAGCCTAACAAATGCGCACAGTTGATTTTTTAAAACAAATTTGAATAATTACTTGCTATGTGATTCTCTTTTGATCACATTTTCGTTTTAGTTTTAGTAAACAGTGATATGTTCCCTGAAAATCACTGATGGSTWTGTCAACATGTTTATCTACCAGCTGTACAAAAAACAAGCACTGTTCCAGGTCAATTTTAAAGKACAAGGTSATCCGTCAACACTACAGGAGGAGTTTTATAAGAAAACAAAGCTTTTGGAAAAAATTCCACTAGGCTGGATTAAAGCCAGCAAAGCTTCATGTGTGGACAGAGATGTTGTGCAGACAACATACCATTTGTAATAAACATGCCAGTAAATCCAATACAAATGCACTGGTATCATTCAACAGGATATGTAACAATCAGCCCTTATGTAATACTAATCAACATTAAATGTAATCAACAATCTTTTCAGATTTAAAAATCTTTTTAAAGCAAACAATGGCTTGACTTCTGGTCTTTGTTTCCACATTGGTATGTCACATGACCTTGGGTGAAATTTTACACGGTTTCCCTAGATTGTTTGTTACAAGGCTCAAAAGAGCGCTAAGCCCAACTTATTTCATGAATAAAAAACATTAGGTTATCACCTTATTTTGTTAGGTCCTGAAAACATATCTTATATGTAAATATCTACATTTATCATATTACCAGAATTTGTGCCTGAACACAMTCTTMAGAAAAAWWTTTGCAAAAAATTGTTGTRGGCGGGCTGGATACAGATTTGTACAGGTTCGAAATGGTCTTGAYGCAAAACATTTACCCAAAGGCACTTCACAACATTTTGTTTAAAATTTTCTTATCAAAAATATCAATATTAATTAAAATATGAAAAATGATATTTTTTGATAAGACCAAAAAAGAAAAAAAAGATCTTTTTGATAAAAACAATAAAGAAAAACATTTTTTGATAAAGTGGTCTTTGAGTAGGTTTGATGCAAGTKGGAAAATAATTTGTTTTCATTGATATAAACTTACTTACTTTTGATATTTATAGCAAATTAATATAATGTTTATTTTAACTTAACTATTTCAATACATCTGTTCCATTTGAAMATGATCCATTAGTTGAGATCAACGATAATGGCTCTTTTTATTATCATTTTTGAATCAGTGAATCAAARCCCWGGAGACCAYCAAAACAACACGTCAGAGAACATTTTGTCATTTTGAGTCTTTTGAGAACCTCACCTTCTTTTCTGATATTGCGAAGGGAGTTATTTAAAAGATGAAACATACCTCATATTTCATTTAATCAAWAATACAAAAAGTTAACTGAACTTGTCAGACACCATCAACTGAAACCCATTCACGGCTTATTAATATGTACACACCAGTCTTACATGAACGTGCGCTCTGTCATGCTTGTAGTTGAAATAGACATTCGAGCCGTTGTATTGAAAAATAATCTTCATAAGGTTTAGATAAGTTCAACTACTTCTAAAATGGCCATGCACAATCTTTTTACTGTGCAYGTAAATAAAAGACTTCGGTTGGTGACAAATGATGAATCGTGCATCACGTTGCTGTTGTTGAAGGATCACATTTTCACCAAATATCGTACACTTTCAAACAAAAAAGCCTATAAAAATTCACGAAATTACTTTTTTACCTTTACTTATACTTGGCACACCAACGGTTTGACGTAARAAGGTTAGAAAAGATAGTAAAACGACAAAATTTGAGCCGACACGACAACCACACATCCTTCTCCTCGGAGCACATGTCGAGAGCATCCTTTGCGGGAACCCAGGGGTACCAAATGAGTTCCTTTGTGTCTTGTTTCTCGCTCCACCACCCCTGGGTACAAAGTCTGTTAGACCTTGTTCCGGGGTATTAAGTCCAAATTACAAATAATTCGTCTTAACAAAGTCTTAATAAAGAAGGAATGATACAACGATTTCAACGTAAAAGTGAGAGCGATTTTTAACTTTCGAAGATTCATTCGTGATGCATATTTTATATAGCTGATGAAGGAATATAGGGGGAGGGGAGGGGAAGTCGGATTTTGTGTTTACTACAACACAACATTTGTTGGACTCAGGCCAACGAGATTTAGTCGTAAAACCCCAAAGGTCAGAGCTGTTAACCTCCGGAATATTCGTACTGTTATCTAATCTAATTTAGTGTTCCGTTTCGCTGTTTGGGTTTCCTGTGATAATCCAAATAAAAATTAATCCATGCATTATTAACCTATATGTACAACCTAACTTTTTATCATAAAAAATAGATCCTAAAAAGTCTAAAAATTCTGACTGAGACTTGTATACACTGGRTTGAAAGTTTACTAGAAAAGTCACATAGTATATGTGTATTTTACTTTGAGCTAAACTGAAGAGGATACTTGAATGATAGTTAAACCTGCATAAACAAAAGGTACAACTATTTTTTACTTTAAAAAATTGTTTAATATGGTTTGAATTTTCTTGCTGCTTTCAAGTCTGCAATTTTTTTCTTATCCTCTTCAAACTTTTTCCTTAATTGTGCAATATCTGAAAAACATAGATTATCTTTTTAGGATATAGTACTAGGGGAAACATGATGCAGAAAATAATGTATGAGGGAAATTTTCTTCTGGGAGTGTGGGTGTGGTTTGAGGGGTGCAGTGTGGGCTGCGGGTGCCAACAGAAACTGAGCAACCAAAGTCTACTTACGTTCTCTTCTTGTTTCTCTTTGTTGAAACTGATAAAAGTTTACCACCCCCTGCTGGTAGAACAAAAAAACATGTTTTTTTTGCAATCTATATCTCAAAAAAGTAGTAAAAAACATCAATATATGYATCATTAGTCCAACCTGTTTTTTCTTCTTTTTCTTTTCCTTTATATCAGCAACATCCATTTGAGAAGCTGCAGGCTTTCGTCCTCCTTTGCCTACTGTTATCCAACCATCTTCATCAGGTTGACCTCTTGACTCCTCCTCTGCTAATTTAGCCTTCAACATATCACATGATGGTTTGAAAATAGAAATGATGAATGAAAGCTGAATTTTGTCATATGGATAGACATATTGGTAGGTTGTTTCCCAATCAGAAAAACCTCTAATAAATTGCTATTGGAGAGTAATCAAATTATAATAAGCAATAAAGAAATTGAAATCTGCCTGCCTGGTATGARTTGATTTATTACCTTCTCCTGTTCCTGGTCAAAAATAGCCATAAATTTGTCWGCTTCATCCCGAATCCTTGCTAGATTTGGATATTGGAATGAATATTCTTGGCACCATTCTGTCAGTCACAAATAATAACAATTAATAGCACTTTTTAATTAATTATAATGCTTTATTATAATCTTTATGGAGTTTTCACTTGACAGCACCAGCTGTAGTTACCATGCCGGCCACCTAAACTACTTTGTTCATTGATGACTGATTTTCAAACTTCAACCTGAGAAACTTAGTCTTATGAATATTTCKTCTCTTGGCTGAGTCAGCAGTTTTAAGTTAGKTTTGAAGTGKGGATTCTGTCAGATTAATTGTTTTATACTTTTTTTGGTTAACGTATGCTAGAGTGGCTACAGTTAGGCGTGTTTCTCTGTAACTAAATATTACATTTGAATAAAAAATAACATTTTTCCATCATTTCTTACTTTCCATTCCTGTCTGYATTGGTTTATCATCGTCAGACAAGACTTGCTCTTCTTTACCATCTAACGCCATTGCTCCGTCCACTGATGATGGTGATTTGAATACAACATAACAGACTTTAAAACCCTGAAATGTTTATGTTTATGTTTGAGCCTTTTGATTTTTGTGAGYTTTAACCCTATAGGCTTCCTGGGAGGATTATATCAATGATTCCCTGTCACTTGCTACTTCTATATTTAGCATACAGATTCAGATACAGAACCTGYTAAAAGCGAGAGCCCAGAGATAAGACTATTATTGGTATATCACTCACACACTCATCTTTCTACAAGCCTGAAATGAGAACACCAGACATTTTTTAAGACTGGTGTCTTGTTACCATTTGAAACTCTAATGTTGCCAAGGGAAAGTGAATAAGGTTGSTATGACAATAGTCTCTGTTGTTATTTGAGAAGTTCCAGTCTTATTAAAATCATAAACTCATGCAGTTGCCCTTGAAAATCAACTGWGACTTTTAGCAATATTTTATTCTAAGTAAGGATTTCAAATCAGTATTTGGTGATAATGACAGAAATGTCGACCAACTGTCTTATGTGATTCCTGCAGTATAAGATCAACAGCAATGCTCCTGCTTCATTATAAACTCATACAAAAATCAATGCAGAAATAAACTGAACCAAAAAAATGACCTATTGTCAGCTTCAAGGGACAGGGAGCCCACGAAAAGCGTTGTCTCTRAAGAAGACAAAAACTATTCATGCCTTTCGAAAATTCCTATGAAAACAACCATTATCATTGTGAAAGGGCAGAAGATATGATGCCATTTAAAAGTAATATATCCACTAACTTTTATCTCTTGATTTCCACGGATTACAGTCGATTTCTTGGCATTCTTGGCTTTTCCAGGCTGTTTCATAAGAAACACACTTTTAACGTCGCCACATTTACCAAATAATCTTCTTAAGGAAGCCTGGAGAAGAAAAATATTAAATTTTGTGAATACAACAACATTAGCTTTGGCCACGTGATTTATAGTAGATATAAGCTTATATAAACCTTATCGCAATATGGCGGGACATTGACGACAAATAATGTTCTGTCAGGAGGCCTTGCTGTGTCTTCTTCTCTTGTGGTATGTCTTTTATAGTATAACACATGATAGGAAGAACAATCTTTKTCAAATTTCACTCTCAACGTCCGAAAGCCAGCTATTTCCGTCGCCATCTTGTATTTTGAGTGACACAGGAAGCCCAAAGATTGATGAACTGTAAATTAATGAAAAATGTTGCATAGTATAAGTGTAGTCAGAATTGTTCACATTCAGACCTAACGTGCACATGCATAATATCCTAAAAAAAAGAAAAAAAAGAAAGAAATTCAAAGATTGAAGGTGCAGTAGGAATCATAGATTTTTTTTATACATTTGTGCATTGAGCGTACCGAAAAAATTAAACTGTAATATAGATTATTTGATAAAAGAAAGAAAGAAATAGAAGAAATTACTTCTTTCCTCTCTTTTTCCTTTCGTTTTGTCCTCTTCTTTAAAGTGGTCAAGAGCATGGGGTTCCTGTGTGATGTCACCGCTGAAAMACACAACCGCGGCGCAGCTTATTATGAAATCCAAAATGGAGGAGACACTGGAACTTTTGATAGGTATWGTAGCCGTTGTAAATTTTGTTTAAATCTTGTTATCTTTTAACTAATTAACAATTTTATATTGAAATGTATAGATCGYGCTACGGATCAGTCAAAAACTCACGAGTCTTCTGACCATTTTGTGTCTGTATGGGACCGTGTTAATAAGGATACCGATGGGTAAGTGTCTATTTTCGTTCGCATTCTTCCTGTTTTACAAGTGAATATTTTACYTTATTCATAAGCGTTTTCTTACATTTGAAGATCAGCGATAGCATTACGATATCTGACTCAGAAAGTTCGCAGTGTGAACGAAAGGGAATCTCTTTGTGCCTTGGAGGTTAGTGATCCTGKGATGTTAGATAAACATTGTGACTGCCATCATATGTCATGCTCAGAACACAAGACAAAATACATTTTAATTATTCAATGTGATAGGTTCCAGGTGTTGATAAAAAGTAAACGAGTTCTTAATTAAATAAATTCCAATCAAAAACATTTGTTTTTCCTGTATTTACAAATTTATATTAAAGGCTGTTCAGTCAGTGCCGTGATATTGTCAACGTGGCCTTAAAGCTTATATTAACATAACAGTAMTGTAGTTTGTTTCCCAAACGTATTTCCATTACTTGATATTGTKAATATTGTGCTTTAATACTTAAGTGATAATATTTCAAGTAATGTTGTACATGCACACACATTTTTCTGACATTTGAGTTGTTGAAAACACTTTGTATATTGTATTTTCCAGTTAATTGAAGCATGTGTTAAAAACTGTGGTGCTCGGTTCCATCAGGAAATTGGMAAATTTAAATTCCTGAATGAGCTTATAAAGATGCTTTCTGCAAAGGTATTTGTACTTAATATTTCATATAAGAAACCTRAAAATTAACTCATAGAATGCAGTGTTTTAGTTTTCCAGGAAAAAACTGTACAATTTTAATGGAAGGCAAATGATATAATTCATGAAATAGATAAAATAATGGTATTGCACATGTAGTTTTTGAGCTTAATTTCTAAAAAAGGTACTAATATTTTAGTATGACGGAGGCTGGACATCTCCTGCTGTAAAGAAACGAATCATTGAATTRATATACAGCTGGACCAAAGGCTTACCCAAAGAAACAAAGATACAAGAGGCTTATAAGATGCTAAAAACACAGGGTTAGTAAAGGCCTGATTAATAGTGTTTATATTGCACRTTTTTACTGCAAAAGGCTTCAATAATATCCATGGTGTTAATGTATAAGTAACCATCATAATGATTGTGTTCATAGGTGTCATCACTAGTGATCCTGTAGATCCTTATCAAGCAACTTATCCCAAGGTAACAATGGCAAAAATGAAACAATAAGTGATCAATGGTGTGTGATAAAGTTAAATAGAGCAGGCTTGTGATGGAAAGCCGAGCTAACTCAACCTTATTGATCTGATTGATTAAAGATTACTATACTCTGATCTAAGTCTAATATTTCTATCTTTTACAAACCAGGAAATGCAGAGACCTTCCAAAAATACAATTTTTGATGATGATGAGAAATCAAAGGTAATAGTAATAATACTTGAATTCCCATTTTGAGAATAGATTTTACTTATTCTCTTGGATTTTTCTTTAATTTATTTCATTTGTTC